GAGACCTGGAAGAAGCTCCTGGCTCCTGGCTTCAGTTAGGCTCAGCTCCAGCCATGGTGGCCAATTACGGAGTGAATCAGTGATGGAAGACCTCTCTCTCTCTCTGTCTCTCTCTCTCTCTCTCTCTCTGCCTCTCCTTCTGTGTAACGCTGACTTTCAAGTAAATAAATAAATCTTAAAAAACAAAAGTACAAAGAACTCTGACACTTTCTCAGGTAGCCCAGAATGCAAACTTGGAGCATATAAGTTTGAAATAAACTTAGTAGGACTCAGCTTCAAGATGCTGCATAGAAGCAAGAAGGCAATGTGGAGCGTCTGAGAGAAGACTGAGGCTAAGAGAATGGATAACAGCAACTGTGCTAAGATGGATGGAATCTTCTATACTCTCTTCTATGTGTAGCCTGCAAGCAAACCTCAACTGAAGAGGGAAATCAAGGAGACCAGGTAAAGCAACTGAATAACTAAAAAATCCACTCCTGCCTATATGGCCCAGGGAAGGTGAGGTTGTCATGAATACCTGGAGAATGTGTAGAGGATACTGTGGTGAGGCACAGAGCCTGCCTTGTGCTTTTCTGAAGACAGAATACAAGAGAATGGAGGAGTCAGGTTCGGCAGCAAAAGAAAGGACCTAGAAATGGCCTACAGCAAGAGTTGAGAGATGAAAGCATTTATTAGGGGAGATTTGAGTGTATTTTCTGGCTATACAAAGAGAAAACTAAACAGTAAACTTATAATCCATGTTTACTTTCTAGCTAGTGTGATAAGCAAGATTTCTCTTCTTTCCATATTCTTTTTTTCTGCCTAAGAGCTCCTGAGATCACTTTTGGCCTCTATTTCTCCTAATCAACACCATTCCTGGAAAATGGCAAACTTTCCTTTTAAGAAAACACATACTTAATTAAGGCAAAATTCACATAACATAAAATTCATCCTTTAAGCCATTTTTAAGTATATAATTTGGTTGACAACTTTTAGTACATTCAAGATGTTGCCATTACACAAGGAAACACATTACAAATGTAATCAAATACCTTCATCACCCCAAATGGCAGTCCTACTCAGTAAGCACCATCACCTATCCTCTCCCCACAGCTCTGGAAACATGGCTATGCTTTCTGTCTCTACGGATTTGTCTGAGCAATGTATTTCTTCTGGAATCTTCAGAATTCTGGATTGAATTTCCAACTAGCAGTGGTAGACTACTGCTATTAGTGGGTATGGGCGAGAAAGGGAGAGGGACAGGGATAGGGATAGGGAGGGAAAGACAGAGGCACAGGGAGAGGTAAAGGGAGAGAGATACAACAATGAGAGACAGCATTTATGAAACCTTTGCAAGGTCAAATCTATTTGAAATATTCAAACCAAGTAAAGACCTGGAAGGATACTTATTTCCCCACTAGACTAACTTACAGTTGGCATCTGAACTTAAATTTCTCAAAGATTCGGTCAGTCATAGATTATAGCAATGTTGAACTTCTTGAAATCGCCTGTAATGGCTTTGTAGATCCTATGTTAGAGTAAAAAATTTCACACCCAACAGAAGCTCTGTCTTGGATCTGAACTTTCTGTAATAGTTGGTGATAACTCTATTATTGTTTTTTCTTCCCCAGACCAGTGGAGTAGGGATCATTCTTTGTTCTACCTTTGTCCTTGTGAGCACATCAGATATAGCAGAGGAAACTGAAGATGACTGGTAGGTAGTGCAAAGGTAACTTAAAAATAATGAAACTGGGGCTGGCACTGTGGCATAATGGGTAAAGTCGCCGTTTGCAGTTCCTGTATCCAATATGGACACCAGTTCAAGTCCCGGCTGCTCCACTTCCAATCCAGCTCTCTGCTATGGCCTGGGAAAGCAGTAGAAGATGGCCCAAGTCCTTGGGCCCCTGCACCCCACTGGGAGACCCAGAAGAAGCTCATGGCTCTTGGCTTCAGATCGGCCCAACTCTGGCCGTTGCAGCCATTGGGGAGTGAACCAGCAAATAGAAGATCTCTCTCTCTCTCTCTTTCTCTCTGCCTCTGCTTGCCTTTATGTAACTCTACCTTTCAAATAATAAATCTTTAAAAAATAATGAAACCCCCTTTTATTTCCCAGCCATAAATACTTGTTATTAATTTAAAATTAAAATACACATTTTGTTAGGACTGGGATTTTTTTTAAAGATTTATTTATTTGTTTGAAAGTCAGAGTTACACAGAGAGAGGAGAGGCAGAGAGAGAGGTCTTCCATCTGATGGTTCACTCCCCAATTGGCCGCAATGGCCGGAGCTGAGCCTAACCAAAACAGGAGCTAGGAGCTTCTTCTGGGTCTCCCACACGGGTGCAGAGGCCCAAGGACTTGGGCCATCTTCTACTGCTATCCCAGGCCATAGCAGAGAGCTGGATCGGAAGCAGAGTGACCGGGTCTCAAACCGGCACCCATATGGGATGTTGGTGCTTCAGGCCAGGGCGTTAACCTGCTGCACCACAGCGCTGGCCCCAGGACTGGGATTTTTTAAAGTCTGTCTAACTTAGTCACACACTCTTATTAAAAATGTTGACGATGAATGCAGAATGGTCTTAAGAATTTTTTGGAGGGGTGTAAACTGACTTAAAACTTGTATGGCTTTCTTAGTTATGACTACCTTGGCAGGAAGTTGTGTACCCTGGGTTCTGGCAAAACCAGACAGGACTTTTGCAAGAAGTCTTCATTTCCATGTGGTCAAACATTCCTTGGAAGGAGGAAGAGCCAGTAAGCCCTTTGACTTGGCATTGCTTTGTAATCTAGAATGTCAAAGCCAGGAGATTCCTGTCATGTTGCGTGCATGTATATTTTGAGCATTTTTACCCCATTTTCATTTTTGATGCCTTTCCACTTATCAGCCCCAGGGGTTAGAGCTCATCCACCTGCATCGGCTACGCCACTGCTTCTTATGTTCATGGTCTTGCTTATTTTCTTCCCAAAGTCTCTTTGCTGCTGGCATCATGGTAGTCCATCCTCTCAGTGTTGACTTCTGGGGACTCCTTGGTGACCAAGGAGCACAGAGACTTTGTATCACATTTTTGAAGTCCACTTTGTCTTAGCTACTATTTCCACAAATACTTCTCAGTCAGTATCAATGGGAACTTAAGCAGGCCAACCTCCTTTAAGCCAGCTGGAGGCTGGGGATGGTTCCACACTCCTTGTGGCACATAACAATTAGCATAGAGCACGCGAAGGACCTTGTTGTTGAGACACCCGTGACCAACTGCAAACAATCATTAGGCTTTGTGCCTTGCAAGGACCTATCAGTAAAACTCATCTCCAGTAAAGACACAGCCATGATGTGCAGGAGTCTAATTTGGCACTTCCCTCAAGCCCGTCATCTGGGTGGGCTTGGTTCACCTGCTCTCCAGCTTTGGCAGACAACTCAAGACCTCTGCGAGGGAAGAGAAGAAACTTGACTGTGCGTTCAAGAAAGGGCAAAAGGGGGCTGGAAAAGGGAAATAGCAGTTAACAGCAGCAAGCAGTAAATCCTCTATCTCTACCTCCCAGACCACATCCCAACCGAATCCAGCAGCACCCCACCCGCACCCGTTCGGGGCTTCTGATGGGGAGTCCAGATACAAGGGCACACACGCATGTGTAGTTCCCTTTGTTGCTCCGTGTTGTCTGCGGGGCCCCAGTTTCTCGTCCTGTGAGATCACTCCGGGGGGCTTTCGACACCACTGATCAAGGTAAGGGGTCAATGGGCCGGCGCACCCCAGGGACTTCCGCACAGTGGGAGGAAAGTGGGGCCTCCGGACCTCGGATATGGGGTTCTTGGGAGTCATTCTCCTGCCCCTCCAGGAGGCCACCGTGACTTTTTCTGGACAGGGACGCAGCCCGAGTAAGATCCCGAGGCTTTTGGAGGAGAGGGAGGGAAGGGCTGCGCGTGGAGGCGGGGTGAGAGTGTGCCCGGGTTCTAAGACGGGAGGGCGGATGGCCAAGCGCTTGCTGCTCGCGCGGCGGCCTCCTGCATCCCCAGGGCCGCTTTGGAGCGCCCGGCTCTGGGCGGCGGCAGGGCCCTGAGTCGCTGCGGGACTCCGCCTTCCCATGCCTCCCTTTACTGTGGAGGGCTGGGCTCTGATCTTTGCGCCCCTTCCTGCCCTCCGATTGTGCTTCTTTGCGGGAAGCCCCGCTAGGCAGTCCTGGGAAGGAAAAGCATTCTCTTGCAGGAGGCGGGCCGGAACGGGAAGGCCAGGAAAGCGGCCTCTGCGACACGGATTATATTTATTTAGAGACCTATATTAAATACAATTTGTGAAAAAGAAAACGGACGCTGCCTCCACCCCACCCACGTCCCCAGGCGCGGGCTGGAGCTTTGCACATGGCCGGGGGCCGGCTGTCCTCTTCCCGGGTCCGCCAGGTACCTGGCGCCTGGCGCCTTCCGCCCGCACCTGCCGCTTGGGGTGGCGCAAAGCCTCTCCAGGCACCCGCGCCGGATCCACGCACCTTCCGCCGCTGGCCGGCTCCGGGGCTGCCCGCATGCCCCTTTGGCGACTTTCCGGAGAGCAGGAAAACTCGGCAAGTGGAGTTGGCCGAGGCGACGGTCCCCGGGCCGGGCAGGTTGTTTGTGGCCTGCTGGACGCTCGCGTCCGGCGCAGGCGACTCCTGGGAAGGGCGCGGAGGGCGGCGCTGCGCGCACGGTTGGCAGGAGCCCCGCTTCGCGCCGCGGGGACGCCCAGGTGGCCCTGACGGTCAGGGGGCGGCCCCAGGGCGGCAGCGCGAGCGAGCTCCGCCCCCAGCTCGGTATAAGGGCCTGGCCCGGCCCGCGGCAGCGGCGGCGGCGGCGGTGGCAGGAGCTGACTCGGGTCGGCGCTCCGACGGCCTGTAGAGCCTCCCACCCGCTTCCATAAGGCTTTGCTTTCCAACTTCAGCTACAGTGTTAGCTAAGTTTGGAAAGAAGACAGAAAGAAGACCCCGGGCAATTTTTCTCTTTTCTTTCTTTTTTTTGCCTTCTGCCACAATCGTCTTTGGGGTCTTTCTGCACGAGGCTGTGGTGGTGTCAGTGGTGCTATCTTCGTTCTTTGCACTCCTGTTTACGACGAGCACCTCAGCAAGAGCAGCTGCAGCAGCGGAGCAAGCAAGGGGCACCTGGTGTCATGACCAGGGAAAGAGGCCAAGACCGCCAGGGAGGATGCTGTGGTGAGCCGAGCGGGCGGACGCGGCGGGTGGAACCCCAGGTTGGCCGTGGAGACCAGCGCGAACCCCACGCGGGTTTTGGATGGACGTGGCTTCGCTGTCAACCAGCGAGATCCGTAAAAGCTTTCTTCACTGCTCTCTTCTTGGGGGCTAGGAAGAAAGGAAGGTTGGGAGGAAAGAGGGCTTGCACACAGGCGAGGATGGAGTTTGGGCAGTTCACGTTACAAAAAAAAAAAAAAAAAAGGAGTTAAAGAATGTTGAAACAAGAGTTTCTTCACTGCGCGTGAAGTTATGCAGTTATTGACCAATAGGGCTTGCTGATTCTGAGTGAGTGATATGAAGTAAACAATGCATGAGTTCCTAGGTGACTTGATCAAATGTGCAAGGTTTGATCCACAATGTGTTTTTTAACACTTTTTGACAAACCCCCTGTCAAGGGACTAAATGCGTTTTTTCTCTCTCTCCCCCTCCCCTGTGTGTTTGTCCTTAGCAAACTACCTGACCTCTGCAAAATTCCTCCTCTACCTTGGTCATTCTCTCTCTACGTGGGTAAGTAGGAATGTATAGAATTCCTTGTGATAAAGTTGCCCTATTTCTGGTTTCCTTTATTTGGGCCGAATGTATTAAGTCAGTTTTGTCATGCAGTTGAAAATAAATCATTGAAATACATATGCTTTGATGAAAAAAATTGTTTTCACCCAAGATACTTTCCTGAGTGTTGGTAAATGCTGTTTAATTACTAGCTTATAATACTTTATAGACAGTTATTCAAAGCCAGGATTAACAAGGACAGGAGTACTTGCATTGTTTATGAATTATGTATCGCCCTGCTAGACTTAGTAAATGGTAATATCTGCTGCTAAGAATAGATGAATATCTCATCACCCTTCCATTCTTTCATATTTGTCTGTTTTCTTGTGTTAAAATCCAGTTCCACTATGCAATCCCATGAAAGTAGAGTGGAATGTTGGAGTGCCTGACTTAGGCTAAGAGTAGCATTCTAAGATTAATTTAAACGTAAATGACCCCAGGAACAAGTATCTAGGTGATAAACATTGTAGCCTTTAGAAATGTTATCTGTGATTTGGTAAGGTGTGGGCATCTCAGGCTATGTTAAAAATCATCATCCAGTGCAAACCAGCAAGTGACTCACAATTCTACCCGTCACTGCCTCTGTGACGATTTCCAGATTTTTGTGAGCCCGTATTCCTTCACCAACTCCCCCTAAACAGCACAATCCCAGAAGGGTGTTGTGTGTTTAATTAACAGTGATTAGAATCTTTAAGGTTAGATAATTGTTCTTCTGTTTAAAAGTAGTTAATCTGAGTACATTCTATGCATGATTCACATGTGATGTTTAGAAAGACATAGAGAAAGAATTTTGTGTTTTTTTTTTCAATATTAATTTCTTTTTAAATTGGAAACTTCCATAGGATAATCCTTAAGACATGAATAGAAACCACCATATGAAGAAATCTATATCCTATACCCTTGAGATATTGTTAGCCTGGGCGACTGGTTCTCTAAGAAACAGCAGTTCATAGATGACTTTTTAGAAAAGTAAGCTCCTATCTTCCCAGAGGCTCACACAGGGATGACTCTGCAAATTTATGTCAACATAGTGGAACTGGTGTGAGTTTCTTTCAATTCCAACAACCAATAAGTCTAAATAGAAACCTAGTAAAATAACCCTTCAACAATCTAAAACAATAGTTTGTTTTTCCAACTTAATTCAGAAGGTGTTAAGTATTTAAAAGACCAATAACAAGAGGTAGAAACAGTATGTGAGATTCTCATCTCGTGTTCCAGACCTAGCTCCTGGGGAAAGAAGGTTGCTTCACTTCCCAATACGGGTTATGTTTAAGAATTTAAGAATTTTGTAACCTTTGCTTTCTGTGACCTAGGTTAGGAGGTTGGATATGCTTAAAAAATGAGCAGAAATGTGGTAGTTCTGGGAGGATTTTTGTCATGATAATTAAAAGTCCCACAAGAAAGGTGACATATTTTATATCAACCTTACAGTAATTCGAGTAAGGAGAGTTCTTGTGAGAAAGTTGAATTTAAAAAACAACAGCAACCAAAACTATTTAAGGGTTGGTGAATTTTTACTTCTCACTGCAGAGGGGTGCAAAAGAGGAATGTTCCCTAATGCTAGGTAACTCTACTTTTTGTCTTTTGTCTCTTGTGTGGCGCTCTGCTTGATTTTATCACAACAAATATGTATTTTTATGTATGTGTGTATGTGTGTGTATGCATATCTATCTGTCCATTCCCCTACTAACCCTGCCAAATTGCGAAGGTTATCTCAGGGTAGGCTTGTGTGGGGTTGAATGCTTTTTATTTCAGACTGCTCATGAATCTGCCAGTGGATCAAGACATATTCCGCTGTATTATCAAAACAGAGAAAGTAGAATGAGAAATGGATCCTGTTGTCAAAGAACTTTTAATAAAAAAGTAATCATGAAAAGGTACACGCCAGTGAAAGGCAGTGGAAAAGAGGGACCAGTTATTCATCTCTTCGGTCCTTATTAAACTCTGGCTAAGGTGTCTGTATTTCTCCAGCCTTTACCTTCTGCAGGCCTCACTTCTCTGCTCAGAGGGGCCTCTGCTATTACCCCATCCTACTGTATCTTCCCTCATAGCTGATTTGTTTCTTGGTCTCCAGTCACTGGCATGTGAACTGCATGAAGGCATGGACCGTGAGTTTTGCACACTGCTGGAGCTGTAGTGACTGTGCTCGCCTTGGTACATAGTAGCTGCTCAGTAAATATGTTTTTTTTTTTTTTTTTTGGACAGGCAGAGTGGACAGTGAGAGAGAGAGACAGACAGAAAGGTCTTCCTTTGCCATTGGTTCACCCTCCAATGGCCGCCGCGGCTGGCCCACTGCACTGATCCGAAGGCAGGAGCCAGGTGCTTCTCCTGGTCTCCCATGGGGTGCAGGGCCCAAGCACTTGGGCCGTCCTCCACTGCACTCCCGGGCCACAGCAGAGAGCTGGCCTGGAAGAGGGGCAACCGGGACAGAATCCGGCTCCCCGACCTGGACTAGAACCCGGTGTGCCGGCGCCGCTAGGTGGAGGATTAGCCTAGTGAGCCGCGGCGCTGGCCAGTAAATATGTATTAAGTGGATTCATGACCATGATCTTTCACAGATTCTCTGGGGGTAGAGAAACATGCATCAAAGTATGGTGAGAACACCATGGGAGGGAGGGAGGGCAGGCAATGGAAGGAAGGAAGGAAGGGTGGGCACTTGGTCAATGTTTTCCTTAGACTTTACCCAGTTCTTGGGCTCTTTGTGATTGCATAATCAGTTGGTTTTTAAAGCTAAATCCTGTGGAGATTTGGGATAACCAGAGCGATTTTTCTTCCCTCTCCATCAAGGAGGAAGCATGCCATAAAGGAATGAACAAGAGAGAAAACCTGCACATGTCATAGCTCTTACTCTGATGGCCTGCTTTAGAGAACTCTAAAAGTCTATTGGAAAAAGATAGATGTAAGAAAAAAAAGAAAGAAGCAATAGTATCAGAGTATTAATTCTCAATGTTTATGTTAAGAAAGATAAAATTTACTCAGGTAACCTTTCAACTGAGGCCTTCTTGTGTTTCTGCCTTCCCTTAGAAGCTATTCAGAGGAAAGATTAGGCTAAAGTCCTTCTCCTGCCATCGATTTTATTCTAGTCAAACCTAAATTTGCTTTACATGTTAGAGACTGAGAAAACAGCTTGATTTGCTATTCTTAACATATTTATCTTAATAAAGTTGTTTTTTATTTGTTTTAAACAAAGCATATAAGAGTAGGTATCATACATTTTTAATTGTTTTGAACAAAGATATTTGAAATGAAAATAATTCCTATTTAAGTAGAGAAACTGCCTAATATCAAGGCAAATTAAAAAAAAAAACTGAGAAGAATTTTAAGAAACATCAGTCATGCTCAAACATCTTGGTCATTCATGAAGTATGTCTGATGCAACAGAACAAAACAGTTGACACGATGAGTCTAGGTTTTGGCCACCTGGAGCATCTTTCCCCATTGCTCAGCTGAGATCCACACACAGACATTCTGTTGTGAACTCCACAGTTACTTGTTAGGCACTCTGGGCCGTGGATGTGCTGGGTTGAGGGTGCAGGAAGTTCTAGAACTCACATTCCAGATCCTCAAGGGAGTCGTTCAAATGTGGTGCTAATGACTTCCAGCTGTTTGCTTTAATGTTGACTTGATCTTATCCATTCCATTTTCCAAGGTCTTAATCTTAGGTTCATTTTAAATTGTGGCTCAAAATTATATTCATAATCCTCTACCCTAAGGTTTCTCTGCTCTATTGATGCTTTGTGCTGAAAATTCTTTGTTGTGGGGACTGTCCTGTGTATTGGAGATGTCAATAGTGTCCCATCTCCATCCCCTGCAGTTGTGACAACTCAAAATAATTCCAGATGTTAACAAATGATTCTGGCAGAGCGAAAGCACTCTAGTTGAGAACATGAAGTTTCTTATGAATGATTGCTAGCATGCATCAATTGAAATTTTAAGTTTTGAATGCATAAGATTATTGTCTTTTTTTATGAAATTTTCAAATCAGTTGACATACCATGGTAAGACTTTGCTTTTTTATTTTTAATGTTTTTTTTTTTTTTTAAGATTTATTTATTTGAAGGAGTTACACAGAGAGAGGAGAGGCAGAGAGGGAGAGAGAGAGGTCTTCCATCCGCTGGTTCACTCCCTAGTTGGCCGCAATGGCCAGAACTGCGCCGATCCGAAGCCAGGAGTCAGGAGATTCTTCCTGGTCTCCCATGTGGTTTCCTAGGCCACAGCAGAGAGCTGGATGGGAAGTGGAGCAGCCGGGTCTTGAACTGGTGCCCACAGGGGATGACGGCACTTCAGGCCAGGGTGTTAACCTGCTGCACCACAGCGCCAGCTCGATACTTTGCTTTCAATACATGAAATTTGTCATGAGGATGCTAACAACTTTTGGAAAGAACTAGCAGTGTACATGTTTCCACACTGGGTCAGGTCTGTAAGGAATCCATCTGGGGAATTAAAGTGATTCTCAGGGGTAGGTTATGGTAGAACATTGTTGTCCTTCTTCGTATTAACTCACAATTAGGGATGGAGCTTAAAATTACATAATAAAGCCCATTATAGATTACCTAATTTACCTGACTCAAAATTGTCTGTTATACTTAGACTACATCTTGCTGTAGTGAATTCCAAAATTTGCTATATTCTCTGGAGTCTGTGTGGAGAAGTATATGGTTTTTTTTTCCCCTTTAAAACCCCATCTGTATTGAAATGCTGAGATGACTGCTGTCTTATGCATTTAGTTCTGGCATCTTTGTTCATGCAGTGCCAGAATTCACCCTTAGTGATTTCATCTTCCTTGTCGCTCTTTGTGACTTTGAAATGCATTTGTGAAACACTGCATGGGTTTTTAGAAATGTTAGAGGTAAAGAAACTTCAGAGTCTCTTGAGAGTCCTATCGTTTTACAAATTGGGATCCTGGCTTTGTCTTGACATTTAAGGTATACTAATGTTTGTGAACAGGATTGTATTTCATTCTGGCTCTTAGCAAACTTGTTTGTGCCTCTTAAGTCAGGATAGACAAAATTCAAGCCCTAGCACACAAGGGAGAAATCTAGCACACAAGGGAACAGACTTTACTTACTGCAATAACCTAGTAGATACTGTCTGAATAAGTAGAAGAAAGAAACTCCAGGCTTCCCATCATACAGTAATGTCAAAGAAGGAGAAATGTTGGTTGCTCTGTTTTGATCAGCACGTTGAATACATGCATTGAAATATCACCCTGTAGCCCATAAATATGTGCAATTTTTGTTAGCAAAAATAATAAAAGGGCAGATTTTGTCTCAGAAACCCCTTCTATGGCTGGAAACTGCATTTTTTTCTGATGCTAATGAGTTTGTGTGTTTCATTAATATCATGCTGTTTTTGCATTTACTTAGCAATTTGGTAAGAATATTTTCCTTTGTGCTGGGATGAACAGATTTAACACCTGGCTGGTATTCAATCCATAGAGTAATTATTGACTTTGAAACCTCATGATGCCGCCAGGAAGTGGCCTTTTGATAAGAAAGCAACTTCCTGAGGACGACTGACTAGAAACTAAAAATATTTCATCAAAACATCTTCTCTCCTGATTGCAGGGAGATCGGATGTGGCACTTTGCCGTGTCTGTGTTCCTGGTAGAGCTCTATGGAAACAGCCTCCTCCTGACAGCAGTCTATGGCCTGGTCGTAGCGGGCTCTGTTCTGCTCCTGGGAGCCATCATCGGCGATTGGGTGGATAAGAACGCCAGACTTAAAGGTGAGTGTTGTTATATAGTTAAGGTGAGTGTTGTTATATAGTTAAGTTTCTGTGTTCATGCAACTGCTGCCTGAGCTTCCTGTTGCAGAGGGAACAGCAAGCTAAGAGAGAAATGGCTGTGACGGACCCAGTGAGGGCAAGCCACACTTGTGGGATTGAGACTCAGTATCAGCACCGAGATTGAGGGTGCTGGCACTCTGTACCAAGTTGGGATGCCAGGACATTGACTTAATAGATTTTTTGTATCTTTGGCAGTTCGTAGTTTCTGATGTTAATGATTAACCCTGTAGTACTTTTCTGGGAACCATGTTAAACATTTAAAGTTTGTTTGACTCTGGCTTCCTTGCCATCACTTGTGCTAGAGTCCCTTTAGTGTGACATTCCTGGTACGGTTGGAACATCTGTCTTCTGAGTTCCTGTGTTCCATATGCAGTTGTGTACGAGAGCATTGAATATCATGTATAGAGTCAAGAGAATAGCTGAACCTGGCTCTCAGAGAGCTGAATTATAAAATTTTTTAAAAAGGAAATAATATATTGACATTTACTCTAAAGCATTAATATGGAAATGATTGTTTTCTACAGGAAAGAGATAAACTGAGCAATTCAGCTGTTCAGAATGAAGGGCAATATGAATAGAGTAAAATTTCCTTGAGTTGCTCACCTGGTAATGCAGAGATTTGGCCATGTCTGTCCTAGATGTTAGGGGAAGACTGAGCTATCACTAGTTTATTTCTGTGTACAATGACTGCTCCTGGTTACAGAGACACAAGATTATTGAATTCCAGGACTCGATATTATTAATGAAATGGTCAAGATGACCATTTTTTCTGCTTTGAGAATGGATAGATCAGAACACATGCAGAAAATTTTTTTGCATTCTAGAAAAAGAAGCCTATTTACATCATTAGACATAGGAACCTAGAAATATTGTATATAGAAGCCTTTACACTTAGGATTGTTGAGCACTGCAGTTATGGGGTAAGAAAGAGTGTTGAGTTGGAGAAGACTGTGGTGGGATAGCAAGCTCCCACTTATCCTGTATGAGCAACTAATTTGCCACTCTTCAAACAAAATCTTCCCCGATGGCTGTAGGTTAAATTGCCCATTTCTTCCTCTGCACTCCTGCGAGACTCTTCCTTGGCTGTTGCACTTCTGCTGTTAAAATTATCTGTCCTCCTGTATTTTCGTTTCCTGCTCTGTGAGGTCCTGAAAGCTAAGAATCTCATTCTGTTAATATGCGATCCTCATGCAATGAACAAATGCCTGAATGAATGGATGTCTGAGTTCCATTCAGGGCTTTTATTTCAGACGGTTTCAGAAAGCAGTTTGCTTTATCTTGAGCCTTTGATATGACCTTTCAAGCCAGCATGAGCCTTACCATCCTTGATGACATGAGCTGTAATTATACCTTACATATACAGCTCTATATTTTCCAGAGTGCTTTCATAAGTATTTTATTTGAGCATCATTAGAACCCCATAAAGTAAGACAGGTAGATCTTACCATCCTCACATTCTACATACATGTATCAGAGACATTAAATGTTCTGCCTCAAGCATTTACCTAGTGAGTGGCGGAGAGAAGACTCCGAGGTGTCCTTACCTGTCCTTACTCCAGCACTTTATATGGGTGCCTCACTCCCAAGAGAGTTGGCCGTTTCTGTGATGGAAGGTGTAGCTTAGAATTTCGTGGCAATGGAACCTAGCATTAGTGTTCCAAAAGAAATACAGTGCAGCTTTACCCTTGGCCAAGATTTGCATGTCTTTTCTATGCATCCATGCCATGTTATCAGATTCAGCCTGCCACATAGGAGGTTACAGATTCCTTTACCTCCTACATGTTTTTGTTTTAGCTTATGCAACTAACAACTGAAAGATGGATGCTGTCTATTAAGTCGTTCTGCTTATAACAGTAACTTCCAAGAGAATAAATGAAAATGTGATTATCATAAAAGACTTCAACTGGGGCTGACATTAAATATCCAAATCCCATATTGGAATGCCAGTTTGAGCCCTAGCTCTTCTGCTTCTGGTCCAGCTTCCTGCTATTGCATCCAGGGAGGTAGCAGCTGATGGCCCAAGTACTTGGGCCCCTGCTATCCACATGGGAGACCCAGATGGAGTTCTTGGCTCCTGGCTTCAGCCTGGCCCATCCCCAGCTGTTGCAGGCATTTGGGGAATGAATCAGTGAATGGAAGATTTCTCCCTCTCTCTCTCTCCCTATCACTTTGCTTTTCAAATCAACGGATGAGTCAATCAACCAACCAACCTTTTTGTACTAGGAATGATTGAGGCAAGATTTACTTCAGGAAGGTTTTTTCTGGAAGTAATCATGCGTATGCATTAATGGGGTAGAACAAAGGTGTGACATTCTGGTGTAGTGACACTGTGTCTGACATTTTGGTGTAGTGACACTGTTTCTTTCTTTGTACAGTGGCTCAGACTTCACTGGTGGTGCAGAACGTTTCAGTCATCCTGTGTGGCATCATCCTGATGATGGTTTTCTTACATAAAAATGAGCTTCTGACCATATACCATGGATGGATTCTTGTAAGTTCTCAATGTGATTCTTCATGTCAGAAAATTGAATATCTTGTAGTAATAAAAGATGAAAATCCTTTAAAGCTAGAAAATGTCTTTTTTGCAAATGTGACCTTTGAATTTTGGTCTTAGTGTGTCCTGGATTTTCCCTGTGGTTCATTGTTGTAGTTTTGCCCATAGTAGGTGCTCATTAAGTATTATTTGAATTTAAATTTTGTCCTACTTTTAATGGAATTCCTAAGAGTTTGTTTTTTGATTCAGTTGTTAGTTTTCAGCCTTTCAGTTGCCTGTAATTTGTTTACACTATATAAGAATGTTATTCAAACTTATTAATAGTCATGATTATGTTCCCTTGATAATAATTGCTATTTCTGTTTGGGGATATCAACTAGATAACTTGCCACACTAAGATTTCATGATAACTTGATGGAAGAGAGGAGAGGACTGGGGTGTGGAGGCAAACATTAGGTGTGCTATCAGTCTTAAATCTGCTTTATATATTTGGGTTGGTATTATAGAGCTTGAAAGCCAGGCAGGACATTAGAAATCTTGTCTATTCCCTTGATTTTGTTAATGAAAAAATTGAGACAAAAATGAGGTTAGTTGATTATCCATTGTATGCATCTAGAAAGTGTCAGAATTCTGACTTAAATACAAGTCTCCTCAATTCCTTTTCAGCATTTTTTCAAAGGAGATATTTGTGGGGGAAATGTTCACAATAAGTATTCTGTTAGTATTTATAAAAACTGTGTTACATAAATGTCCACATGACTATTTTAAGTTTCGCATTATGCGTTCTACAGATTAGGACAATGATATGCCCTTTAGCTTGACCAATGCTATTGATTATTCTGTGTATGGAAAGTAAAACTATTTCTTATATATGAAGTTAAAATAAAAATTTTGTTTTTATCCACCAAAGACCATTTTAAATTTCTTTGTATTATGAGGTAGGTACAATGTGGTCAACTGACATTTTAAGTCTTGTTTTTTCCTAATAATTTCTTAGACTTCCTGCTATATCCTGATCATCACTATTGCCAACATTGCTAATTTGGCCAGCACTGCTACAGCAATCACTATCCAAAGGGACTGGATTGTTGTTGTTGCAGGAGGAGACAGAAGCAAATTAGCAGGTAACTGGTTTTCTCTCTCACCTGAATGGGCATGTTAGGGTTCTCTTTAAATCAGTAGTAACAAATGAGCCTAGAAGCCCTTTACCCTCTTTGTTCTGCATATTTTTAAGAACAAGATATTGAAAGTAGTTTTTTTCCTTACCTTATTGTCAGGCTAAGGCTTATCTTATTGCTATTAAGTTACTTTATAGTATAGTTTTCTGTTTTATGCAAACTTGGCAAGTAGAAGAACATTTCTTTTGAAACTTTCCTGTTTTAAAAAATTCTGTTAACTCTTCCTAACTATTTAGTTAATTCCCAGTGCAATGATAATTGGACATGCAGTTTTACCTATAGGTGTTATTATTGGTATTTATCCATCATACCATACATATTTTTTTTTCTGCAAACGAAATGGAAACAACTGTAGGGCAGACTCTAGAAGTCAATTCTTTCTACTTTAAAGTTGTAATCAGTAACAGCTATACATTAGGTATGTTATAATTTTGCTATTACAAATACTAAAGAAATAAATCACATAGTGTAGTTTTTTAAGACGCTTACAATTTCTCAGTTGTTCATTGCAAACACATACAAGTTGCCCAAGAAAAGCTGAAGAATGCTTACAAAGCAACATGTCCTATTAAATCAATAGTACATGGGCTCAAAGTAAATTCCCTTTGCTGGAGTTTGTCTACCTTCTCCCCCTTTAACACAGGTACAAATTGAATTGATAATCACACAGGGGAGGGGAGGAAGGTTACACCTGCCTACCGGTCAGATCAGCCGAATCAACTCCGCTGGTCATTAAGATAATGAGTATCATAAACACATTGCCCAACCAGCCTGCCTGACAAGAAAACCATTCTTGATGACTTAAACGGCTTATCCCCGGACACAGAAGGCAAGATTATGTGCTGGGGTTAGCAAGCAGCTTTGTTTGACTGGACCATGTGGTAAAAAAAAAAAAAAAAAAAAAAAAAAAAAAAAGATAGAAAGGAGATGGTGATTGAAAGAGAACAAAGTCTTTGGAGGTCTGGTAGAAGAATTTGCTTGACTCATCACTTTGTGGTGGGACTATTATACCTCAGTGCTTTTAGAGGATGCTGTGTACCCAGGATGAATTCAGCACGTGGGAGTCTGTGCTGCAGGGAGTTATCTCTGGAACTAAACTAGTGATTCTCACCCATTTTTATTTATTGTCATCTATAATAAGGGGTAAATCCACATCTCTTTTTGTCACGATGAACCAGAAGATAAGGATTCCTCTTTTCTCCTTGTTTACTTTCTCTTTTTAATATACTATTTTAAGCATATGTCTGTTTTAAAATTCAAAGGGTACAAAAGGACATACATGTATTTTGGAGATAAATCACATTTATTTCCGTTGGAATCTATTTGGGGGAAAAGTTGGCTTATGTATGAATGATTTTTCTCTTGTCTGAATTTCTTACTGGAAGTCATTTTGACTCTGTAATGACTATATAATATTTTACTCTGTAAAATAAGCTCTATTATTAAAACGAAAGTTACCCTGAATCTCTAACTTGTCATAATACAAAATAATAATATCAAGGATCCCACGTATTTTTCTGACTGATGTCCCAGAACAACAAAAATAGGACTGGCTGTTTCTCAGCTGACCCTCTAGGAATTATGGCAGAGAGAAAGAATCTAGGCCAGTCTATTTTCTAACCTCATGGAGTTTTTTGAGTTCAAGAGAGGAAGTAAGCTGTTGTTGAAATCCTGTCCACTCTAGGTTAGCTTTTAGTAAGTGGTACGTTTTTAGTGTGGATTAGTAGATTAGTGGAGCAAGCTACATGTTGTGCTTCCAGAAATGTTAGCCTCCGCTTTTGTATTAATTAAACACCATCTTTCCAAAGAGGATATACAAGCTTCCCTAGTTGTGAGGGTCAGCAAGTGTCCAGCGTGGAGTTTTGGTGCCATTTCTGCTGTAAGGCAGTGAAAGGAGAATGGAGGAAAAGGAGGAGGTCGAGGAACAATCGGCTAGAGAAGGGGAAAAGTGTTCCTGGAGGGGCACCCACTGCTGCCTGAATCAGTGTGAGGCTGCGTCTGCACACCGACGCACCTGCTCCCGTTTGTCAAGGCTGATTTTTGAGGTTACTGGCAAAGACCGGTAAAAACTCAGGTAGGGGGACTGGACTGGGAAGGTTTCACCTGCGTACGTGTTGTGTTCTGTGTGTGTGTTAGAATATATATGTTACCATCTGCTTTCAAAAGCTCCAGAAAAATTGTTTTTTTCACAAAGATACAGTTAATTGATCTGTTAACTAATTAGGAACTTTTCAGGTACTTCATTTACTGAAGTGCTCTCTTGTTCCATTACCCACAGCCTATCTAACCCGTTTGAAATTCATTTCCTTCCCCAGAGTTCTTACTCCGATTTTCCTTTATTTCCTTCCTGTTTCCTTTAATAAATAAATTTTCATTTTGAATCCTTTGATTAAAAACTTGACCTTGTACTTAAGGTACAGAAATCTCCTGGCTGCTATTTGCTTAACAAATCTTTGTCTCTAAATTATTCTTTTATGAGATGTAATATACCCTATACAATAAAAATATTTATTTAATGTCATTATCTCTGCCACAGCTGTAGCCAAAAACACTTAAGTGGGAATTAAATCAGTAAGCATTTGTGTGTTTCTGTGAGGGTACTTCAAAAAGTTCATGGAAATGGAATTAAAAGATAAGTTTATTTTGGTACAAAAGAATTTTGAAATCCATACATAGTTTGTTCAAAGTCTGTATTGTCCATGAACATTTTTGAAGAACCCTTGTCTAAGAATAAATAAAAATTTGTGAAGAGAATGTGTACTTTCAGAAGACTATTAACAGTAAAATGATTAGGCCTTTAAAAAAGGATCACTTAATCCATTCTGCTTCAGAAAAATAAAAGCTCTTTTTTGACGCTACATTTGCACTGACACTAAACGTTATTAACATCCTCAGTATAAGACTCATACACGAGATAGAGACTGGTGACACGGGGAACTCCATGGGGCCCCTGATAGCTGAAAGAGTAACAGATAATTATAACCAAAATAATTTTTTGTTGTTGTTCTTCCGGAACTTTAAGATCCAAGTATGTGTTGTTTAGCTGCTTTTTAGATTCAAGTTTTGGAGTTATGTGGGTCAATTCCACCCTTCTCTGTTGCCAGTGGTGGGCACATGGAGTTAGTGAAGCCTTGGCAAACATGGTCATGGGTAGAATCAATGAAAGCTGCCTTTGCCTCACAAGTGAAAGGTGAAATATGTCAAAGTTCTCCTCTTATCGTATAAGTAGTGTGCACTCATAGGGCTAATTGGAAAGTAATTGAGGAGCAGAAAGAATTAGAGAAGGATTAAAGGCAATTTTCTATTAATGCGCTTGTTAGTCACATACTGCTGTTCCCTGAGGTCACCCAGTGATTGTTAAAAGACTTGTCTCATCAATTTTTACTCTGCTCTCTGAGATGGAGAGTGAGAAAAATGGGTGATTGTCTTAACTTCTCTTTTATTCATCTTTTCTCTACCTTGACTCGATTATCCATTCCCATGGTCAAAGTCTAGACCTCGTCATCACCGCTAACTCCCCCAGCCCTGCTTCTGTAATCCGTATCTTGAACTGCTGCATGCTGTCCTTTCAGCTCACGCCTTCACTGCCTGAGCCCCCATAATCCTGCAACCTGCATGGCCCTTACAAACTCTCACCTGACTCTGCGCAGCGGAACATGGCTGGAGAAAAATGCACCACATTGCTCAGGGCTCTCACTTGCAGCTGGTGACCACTGGGTTCAGGCTGACCCTCTCATGCTGCCAGAGGACCGGCTGTTTTCTCTGGTTCCTTCCTTTTCCCACCCTGTGCTGGGGCATTGTTTTGTGCTCTCTTCTTTCTCCGCACACATTCAGTCCCTCTCCCCATCCTGTCACTAATGCCCTGGCTGAGGCCCTGGACCTGCAGGCATATACGAGGCTTTGGTGTTACCATTGGTGACTCGTGTGTGCGCCTAAGAACAGCTCTTCCACTAAGCTGTGGATTCAGGTTCCATCCCTTCTCAGCCACTGCCTCACTCCAGCCAGCATAGAAACGTCCTCTGCCTTCACCTCACTCCCCCTCTGCCACCTCATTTTGTGCCCAATTCCTTTCTTTGACCACGACCTTGCTTTCCATAAGGCCAGGGTAAAGCTCCAAGGGGTGTGACTCAAACTACAATAGAAACAAACGGTGTCAACTGGAGTCGGCACCGGGCTCTCCAGCCTCAGCCAAGCATTTGCCTGGCAGCTTTGCTGGTTTTGAGGTCCCCAACATCTTCACGGGAACCGTCTGGCTGTGTTCTCAGTGTTGGTCTTTGCTGACCTACCAGCAGCACCCGCACAGTTGATTAATCTCTCCCTAGCTTTTCCTACTTCCTTCTCACCTTCCTGATCCCTATACCTTAGTGTGCCCAGCTCTCAGTCCCCAGAAACTGTGTCTTCACACGCTCTCCCGTGATACCCTCGTCTCATTGCTTTAAAATCGACGTGCTGATCCGGCCCATGCTTCTTCCCTAAATTTCCAGCCTCGTGCTTTTAACCTCCTGTCCCTGGAGGTGACCTCCTCAAAGTGAGCAGCCTGTCTAGCCCAAACACTTGCTCCTTTATGCCAAACCTGATTCTTCCGAAGTCTTGCATTTCTCAGTCAACGACAGCTGTATCTTTCCAACAATCGCTCAGGAAAAACAAATCTGAAAACCTTGATATTCATCCTTGATTCTATTTTTCTCTCAGACCCACCCCATCTCTAATCTGTTTTCAGGTCTTCCTGATACCCCCTTAAAATTTACGCAGTATCTATTTCTTCCCACCTTCCCTGCTCCTACCCTGCTCCGAGCCACATCATCTGCCACGTGTCTCCTTGTCTTTAGTGTTGTCTACTATGTAGGCCCACTGCCAACTGCCTTGCTCTGTAGTCTTCTCTCAACACAGCAACCAAAACAAGATGTGTCAGACTATGCCACGGCTGTGTTCAAACCTTCCAAAGGCTTCCTGACTTACTCAGTGTAAAAGTCAAAGTGTGTAGGATAGTCACAGGAGCACGCATGTTAGGCTGGTCTCCCCTCTCTTTTTTTCTTTTCTTTTCTTTCTTTTTTTTTTTTTTGACAGGCAGAGTGGACAGTGAGAAAGAGAGACAGAGAGAAAGGTCTTCCTTTGCCGTTGGTTCACCTTCCAATGGCCACCGCGGCCGGCGGGCTGCGGCCGGCGCACCACGCTGATCCGAAGCCAGGAGCCAGGTGCTTCTCCTGGTCTCCCATGGGGTGCAGGACCCAGTACTTGGGCCATCCTCCACTGCACTCCCTGGCCACAGCAGAGAGCTGGCCTGGAAGAGGGGCAACCGGGACAGAATCCGGCGCCCCGACCAGGACTAGAACCCGGTGTGCCGGCGCCGCAAGGCGGAGGATTAGCCTAGTGAGCCACGGCGCCGGCCTTCCCCTCTCTTTCTAACCCCATTTCTTCGGTCCCCTCCCTTCCTTGCTCCACTCCAGCCCTGCTCATCTCTTTGCTGTTCCTCTGCCACTCTGGGCACGCTCCTCGCCCTGAGGACTGCGTTTCTTTGGTCTGAAATTCTCTTTTCACTGACATCCACGTGACTCACTTCTTTGCCTCTTTTCACTTTGGTCTTGTCTGCAATGCCTTTTTTTTTTTTTTTTTTTGAGTCCTTCTGTGAACCCAGCGTATTTAGAACTTTTCCATGAGCACTTTCCATGTCTTTTTCTCTGCTTTCTTTCTCCCCTTAGTATTAAACATCTGACATGTGATATATGAGGGTACTCCCAAAAGCTCTAAGAGAAATAGAATTAAAAGGTAAGTTCATTTTGGTGCCTTAAATTCGGAAATCAATCCGTACTTGTAGATGTGTGTGTACGGGCTTGTCAATTTTTCTTTCTTTTCCTATGAGAATGTAAACTCCATGAAGATGGTCAAAGATGTTACTTATTTTCTTTGTAGTGTTGAGGATAGTACCTTGCTTATAGTGGATATTTAATAACAATTTGTTGAAAAAAAATGACTATAGAGTCACTAAGGCATTCGTTTTAAAAGTTAATGTTAGACTGACTTAATCCTAAGGATTCATGATTTTTGAGGCAAATTTAGTGTGACTTGATCTAAATAACAGATGTTTTTCTAGAGAATGGTTTGCTCAGAGCACTTTAAGTTTTTACTTTTTTTTTTTTTTTTTTTTTTTTAATCAGAGGGCTTTTAGAAATCCACGTCTTAGGAACTCACTCTCTTGGCTTTGTCATGTGTTAATGGGTGGTCTCTCTTTGACGAGGTCGAGTCTCATCTGCCTCTTTTGCCTTCCTGTGTAGACATGAATGCTACAATCCGAAGAATCGATCAGTTAACCAACATCTTGGCCCCCATGGCCGTTGGCCAGATCATGACATTTGGCTCCCCAGTTATTGGCTGTGGTTTCATTTCGGGATGGAATCTGGTGTCCATGTGTGTCGAGTACTTTCTGCTCTGGAAGGTTTACCAGAAAACCCCTGCTCTCGCTGTGAAAGCTGCTCTGAAAGTAGAGGAAGCTGAATTGAAGCAGCTGAATTTACACAAAGGTAAACTGAACATAGTGATCCCCTTTCTTTTTTCTGATGTTCAGGCCGTCAATGTTGGTGGAGATCAAAATAATTTGCAACTTACTTCAGGTTTTATTATTAGTGAAGGCCTGGGTGAGGTTAAATATATTTTTTATTTATATTAACATGAAACACATGTACTTTTTGTGCAGTACAATGTATTATTGCAACACAAGTGTATGGTATAAACCCATCCAATCAGATAGTTAGCGTTTCTATTTCCTCATGCTTTCCTTGTGTTTGGAGCCAATGAACGCCTCTCTCTACTGTCATTGGGTGTATGTTAATGTGATCTACAGTCACCCCACTGTGCTGTGGAACACCAGAACTATGGCTTCTGTCTGGGTTTGGGGACCTATTACCCAGCCTCTCTCTATTCCTTCTCCTTCCACCCTTCCCAGCCTCTAAGTTCAGATCAACTGTTTGGACGTCCATATAAAAATATCACATCTGTAGGTGAAGCAAAACCAAGCCTTTGAGGACCTGGAGAACAGCTCTGGACTGAACCTGAAGAGTTTGGAATGGGACCCCTGGCCCTTTTCTGTGATGGGAGCAGTAGACAAAGAGGGGCAGTCAGCTGAGGGATGGCTAGGCGAGTGGGTAGAAAGAGAACAGGATAATTCCTTGGAGCCTAGGAAGAGGGGCGTTGCACGGGCAACGGAAGGGAGTGAGGAAATGAGAGGGCTGTTCCCAAGAGAAGAGGAAGTTGGGCTTCTGGGTAAATAGAATCTTACCAGGGCCGCAGAAAATAAGGTGCTATGCTTTCCAGGTGATTTTATATTTCACTGATGAGTCCTCCTGCCATTAACTTTGATACAAGTATTGTTTCTAAGTGTGTGTGTGGGTGGGAGGGGTTTGGAGGAGGGGAGAGCAGAGAAACTTGGAGACTGTTCACTATGATTAGTGAAAGAAAACAGGTATTATAATGCAGTAGCCAAGGCTCTCCACTCGGGAGGGAATAGGAAAGATACAAAGATAATTGGCTTTTTTCCTTTGATGCCCTCCCCTAAACAGTGATATATATCTTTTATTAACAGACACTGAGCCAAAAACCCTGGAGGGAACTCATCTAATGGGTGAGAAAGACCCTAACATCCGTGAGCTTGAACCTGAGCAAGAGCCCACCTGTGCCTCCCAGATGGCTGAGCCCTTCCGCACCTTCCGAGACGGATGGGTCTCCTACTACAACCAGCCCGTGTTTCTGGCGGGCATGGGTCTTGCTTTCCTTTATATGACTGTCCTGGGCTTTGACTGCATCACCACAGGGTACGCCTACACTCAGGGGCTGAGTGGCTCCGTCCTCAGTATTTTGATGGGAGCATCAGCTATAACTGGAATAATGGGAACCGTGGCTTTCACCTGGCTGCGTCGAAAATGTGGCCTGGTTCGCACTGGTCTGATCTCAGGACTGGCACAGCTTTCCTGTTTGATCTTGTGTGTGATCTCCGTGTTCATGCCTGGAAGTCCTTTGGACTTGTCTGTGTCTCCCTTTGAAGATATCCGTTCTAGGTTCATTCAGGGAGAACCACTGTCCACTACAACCGAAATACCCAAAGCCATCTTTACAACTGAAACTCTTCTGTCGAACGGGTCTAATCCTGCTAATACTGTCCCAGAGGTGACTAGCCATTCTGTTCCTCTCATCTCCGTCAGTCTGCTGTTTGCAGGCGTGATTGCTGCTAGAGTTGGTAAGAAACATCTTTTTGTGTCTTAATGAACTACTGTGTTTTCAGAAAGTGGATACATGACCTGAAATACTACCTCAATATTAACTGGAACAAAATCCACTATTTATCTTCATGTATATCATTTACTTTTTTAATCATGAAATTTCTGTTTTACAGTTCACAAAACTATTTTTATATGTGAATAAACTTAAAAAGTGGTTAGGGCTGGAAATTTTTTTCTAAGTGAATATCTTAAGTATTACTCTTTAATTTAAAAAATACATTAACTATGATAATTATAATGTCATCTAGTGATTTAGAGTCTGTATGTTGCTATGACTCTACCAAAAGACATCTAATGTAAGGAATATTTCTATGGGACAACATAAAAAAGGGTTTTGTGTATTTTTGAAAAAGACATAGTCCTCAAAAGGACTTCTTTTACTGATGTGTGTTTGTTGTGTAGTTTGCTGCACAAATGGATTTTATAGCTCTGGAAGGAAACATAAAGACTTTCAACAAAGCAAGATTTAAGTAATCATTAATGGACTAATGATCAATTATCTCTGACTGAATTTGTTCTTGAAATGACACCATAGTTATCTTGTGCTACAAAGCAGTTCATTAATTTATCAAAGACATTAATATTCAAGCAAGACAGTTTTATTGTAAGGGCTTTAGAACCGAGGCAGTAAATGTGACAGTGGCTTAAAGTTTCCTTACTCCTTACCCATAGCAGTGAAGTAGGTCATTTTAAACTTTAGAAGTACTAGGGCTTATGAAAGGATTTATTATGCCTTTCATTTCAGAGTTTTACTTCTGTAGAATGAATAACCACAGAGAAACAACTAAGCAGCTTATAGATTAGACTTATTTTTCTCTGGTGGCTGTAGAGATAATTTCTGGATGCCACTACTAACTCGATATTAATTAATGAGGAAGAATTCTTTAAGGCAAGCCTATGATAAATACTGCATTTATAAGGTGACTTATAGTAGGGTTCAAATGTATATTTCTATGTATGAATCTGAAATATATGGTTATAATTACAATCCAGCTTTTAAAACTCTTTTTTATAGGTCTTTGGTCCTTTGATTTAACTGTGACACAGTTGTTGCAAGAAAATGTAATTGAATCTGAAAGAGGCATTATCAATGGTGTACAGAACTCCATGAATTATCTTCTTGATCTTCTGCATTTCATCATGGTCATCCTGGCTCCGAATCCTGAAGCTTTTGGCTTGCTCGTATTGATTTCAGTCTCCTTTGTGGCAATGGGCCACATCATGTATTTCCGATTTGCCCAAAAGACTCTGGGCAATCAGCTGTTTGTTTGTGGTCCTGATGAAAAAGAGGTTGCGAATGAAAACCAAACAGATTCATCTGTTGTATAAGACAGTGTAACTGTGACTATCCCTGTTACTAGATCGCATAGAGCACATGTGTTCATTTTGTACTTCAAAATTCCAGTAAAGAGCTGGGTGTTTTGCTCTGGTTTTACCACAGTTGAGCCTTGAGGGCTGGCTACAAGCTGTTTAGGAACCAAAGTCAGCAGAAATGACCTGGTTAATTACCCTTACATTTAAGTATGGATAAAGAAGAAAAACTCCATTTATATACGGAGCCTATAATGGTAACACTGAATTCTCATATTTCTTCTGAGTAGACAAAATTTCACATTAACTAGTAGTTAGTGATGCAAATTACATTATCCTTAGGCAGATATTTATTATCTGTACTAGAATTTAGAAATATTACTTTTCCCTAAAACTCACTCTCGTTAAAGTCTGGAGAATTTACTTTTATTCATCTTATTCTCAGTTATTAAAAGGCAAGTAAGTTCTTCTCCAAATATGAAGATTGAAGTTTAGTAACCAGTATTATCCTTATTGCTCCTATTGATCTTCAGAGACTTAATGTATGTGAAAAAATGAAATACTTAACGACAGTTCTCTAATAAGGCTCCTGGTTTAACCTATGAGAGCACCTTTGCATTTTTATTATCAAGTAGGCCAAAATATTGTACTAAGCATATGTAGCACTTCATATAATGGCTATATGTAAGCTGCAGGTAGAAGTCAAGCTATAGACTTATATAACAGTGAATGCAAAAGGACTTCAAATGTGTCAGTAGGTTGCCATAGAAGCAAAAGCTAAAAGCTACACAGAAAGGAGAGCTCCTCATTGAACTCGTGCCACTATCAGTTAGTGGGCTCTGTCTAAGAGTCTGAGAGAGTATGCCTTCAGCCTGGCAAGTTACATGTGGAAAGATAGCCCACACTTGGAAAGGTTTTGTTTTAGAAATCACTTGATTTGCTTTCAGCACACTTGGGCAGAGCATTTTTACCCTTATTGTTCTATGCCCAGGAATTCTCTCTACATCATTCTAGAGCAAGAATGTTCATGAAACCATCCCTTTCAGATGCCTCTGAGTAGAGGGGGGGATAAAGAACATTTGTATATATTTTTAAAAACTGTTTTACAAGTCATTTTGCAACATGCCAGTACCAACATGGTACTATGCCTTAACTGTTTATGCACTTTCATGGAGACTGCAATACGTTGCTATGAGCACTTTCTTTACCCTTGAAGTTTAATCTTTTTCTTCATCTTTCTACAGTATGGCAATGATTTGCTATGTTATAAAATCTTTGTAATATTTCTACATAAATGTATTTTAAAAATCTTAATTTCTTTTTCCTGGAATTTTGTTCTCCAATTATTTAAATTGTTTTTGTTACAGCACATCTGTTTTGGAGTATGTGTTTTTCTCGATAAAGGGCTACAGTTTTGTAATTCAGGATTTTTAGTGTTATGTCCCTATTCATATTTCTAATTTAAGGTGCCTGGATAATAGTGTAGTAAACATGAGACCCAGCACTTTCTCTGATGTTGAGAACGTCACACGAAGCTCTCTTAAGTTCTAGGAACTATTTCCTGTCAATTAGAGATGATACTATAAACCAATCCTACCTACCTCAGAATTTTCCTGATTGGATACAACAAGAGATACCATGTGGAAGCACTTGGTAAACCACTAGATGAGTGGTATCACTAGAGGCTGGACCCAGACAACGAGGTGAAGTCAAGGATGGCAGCTTACTAACAGTCCAGAGGGAAAGCAACGCCCTTCTGTCCACAGTGGACATTTATTGGAGACCTGATCTGTGCCCTAAACTCTGATCAGTCTTGGGGATGCAGAGTTGACTTGGACATCGTTGATCATGGTCTCCTTTTCTTTTTCCTAAAATTGGGAGCTTGAGAACTTTTGGCATCATCCTGTGATTACTGATCTGCTCATAACTTTTTTAAAAAAGATTTTATTTATTTGAGAGGCAGAGTTACAGAGAGAGAGAAAGAGGTATTCCATTCACTGATTCACTCCCCAAATGACCACAACAGCCAGAGCTGGGCTGATCTGAAACCAGAAGCCAGGAGCTTCTTCCATGTCTCCCATGTGGGTGAAGGGGCCCAAATGCTTGGGCCATCTTCCACTGCTTTCCCAGGCCCATAAGCAGAGAGCTGGATCAGAAGAGGCGCATCTGGACAGGAACCGGCACCCATATGGGATGCTGGTCCCGCAGGCAAAGGCTTAACCTACTACTTCACAGCGCCAGCCCCTGCTCATGGCATTTGTGCTGAAAGTACATGCCTCTGTTAGATATGCTTGCTGTTTTGAACAGGCCCTCTTCTTCGTCCCACAGGGGTTGAGCTGGGATTGAAGATCTGCCCTGAGTGTTTACAGCTGGAACTGAAGGCCTGTGACCTTGTGAAATGAATGGAATCCTATTAGCAAGGGAAGGTCTAGGCTCTTAATATGGGCATATTGTCAGACTCTGGGCCAAGGGCGGAGCCCTGTGTAGGAGGAAGGAGCATGAAGTTGGAGAGTTAACAGGAATTTTTATGGCAACCATCCTTATCTTTGCAGAATACTGCTCAGAGCAGGAAGAGGAGGGAAGCAGAGGAGAATCGCTGCTGGTATCTGGACAGCCTTTTGTTTACTGCCCCTGGGCTTAGAACTAGGGCAAGGGTAGATGACACAGTGTGGCTGTCTGGGTTTGCTTCTAAATAGGGGGACAACCTAATATACCTAAAAGTTCAGGTAGCACAAATGAGTGGATTAGAAATAGGAAAATATTCTTTAATATGTATGTAATTATATTTTCTAAAGTAGGAAATCTTTTTCCTACTTAAAAGCAAATTCATTACATTAATGTCTTTTAAAATCTGAGAGGTGGAGAGAGGGAGAGCCCCCAGTCACCGGTTCATGCCCCCAAGTGCCCGCAAGAATCAGGGCTGGGCTGGGGTAGAAGATGGGAGCAAGGAGTGCAGTCCAGGAGTCCCACATGACAGGCAGGAACCCAGTTACTTCAGTGAGCCCCACAGGATCCCAGGATCTGGATTAGCAAGAAGCTAGGATTGTTACCAGAGAAGCTAGGGTTCTTGTCTTCACGCAAGAAAGAACTCAGGCATGAGACAGAGAGTAGTGGAAAGTAAAATAGCAAGGTTTATTAGGGTAGGGACATCCTTAAGAATGGATGGGTATGTCTCCAGACAGAACTTGAGAGAGAGTGCCCAGTCGCTCAGACTTGGGGAGAGCGAGGTTACATGGTTGAGTGGAGAGAGTACACCTGGGCAGGCCAGGTGGGTGGCTCAGCAGAAAGGCAGAGGGCTGGGTGCACCGTCCCATTGAGGCGCGGGGTGGGGGTGGGGGGGTGGGGTGGCTTAAGGGAGTCTGTTTACCCACCTCCCCCTCTCCTCCAAGACAAAGGATGGGGGAGTCCTGGAAGAAAGGTTTGTTGGGTGAAAATTGGCGAATTCCTCCCAAGATTTGCTGGAGCCCTGGCAGAGTAGGGGGGCTTCCCTTAGGGCATCTAAGAAGGTTTTATTGCCCCATGTTATCAGATCAGGTAACCCCTGTGGTCCTGAGGAGATTGAATTCTCCTGGGAGCTTTCCCTGGGGGAAGGGCTGGGACCACTTGGGAGCTTATCAGGGTCTGGGCAGGACTTTGAAGTGCAACATGCTGGGCTTCTAGAGCTTCCGCAGTGGGTGCTGGTCTTCAGGCCTGTCTCATACACACATAGGCTCAATTTTTGACTTCCTACCTAACAGGATGAGGAGCCAGAACCAGGAAGTGGGGGCCTGCACTGTGGCACAGCGGGTTAAAGCCCTGGCCTGAAGCACTGGCATCCCATATGGGCGTGGGTTCTAGTCCCGGCTATTCCACTTCTTTTCCAGCTCTCTGCTATGGCCTGGGAAAGCAGTAAAAGATGGCCCAAGACCTTGGCCTTTGCATCCACGTGGGAGACCCGGAAGAAGCTCCTGGCTCCTGGGCTTTAGATCAGCGCAGCTTCCAGCCATTGTGGCCAATTGGGGAGTGAACCATCGGATGGAAGACCTCTCTCTGTTTCTACCTCTCTCTCTAACTTTGTCTTTCAAGTAAATAGAATAAATATTTAAAAAAAACCAGGAGGTGAACACATGTATGCAGATATGGGACATGGGTGTCCTAATGGCTAAGTTAAACATGTACTTATTTTATTTTTATGCTTTTTTATTCTACACAGACTTCTTTAAAAATTCTTTTTTTTTTTTTTTTTGACAGGCAGAGTTAGAGAGAGAGAAAGAAAGGTCTTCCTTCCATTGGTTCACCCCCAAATTGGCCGCTATGGCCAGTGCACTGCACCAATGTGAAGCTAGGAGCCAGGTGCTTCCTCCTGGTCTCCCATGGGGTGCAGGGCCCAAGCACTTGGGCCATCCTCCACTGCACTCCCAGGCCACAGCAGAGAGCTGGACTGGAAGAGGAGCAACTGGGACAGAATCTGGCGCCCCAACCGAAACTAGAACCCAAGGTGCCGGCGCCACATGTGGAGGATTAGCCTAGTAAAAAATTTATATAAAGGGAACAAATTTTATGTATTTCATATATATCATTTTAAGAAAATGATACTTCTCACCCTACTCTCCTTCCCTCCCTGACTCCCACCCTTACTCCTCCTTCCTTTCTTATTTTTAATTTTTGCAATGATATAGTTTCAGTTTACTTTATAATCACAAGCCTAACTCTCCACCAAATAAAGAATTCAACAAATAGTAAGTAGGAAAACCACGGTTCATCAGGAGTGTAGACAAGGGCTGGAAACAATAATCAAATCTCAAAATGTTAATTTCACTCCTTTATATTACTTGTTTTTGTACTCTGTATATAAGTTACCACAAATCAGGGAAAACATGTAGTTGTCTTTTGAGCATTGGCTTATTTCACTAAGCATAATGGTCTCCAGTTACATCCATTTTGTTGCAAAACACAGGATTTCATTCTTTATTACTGCTGAGTAGTATTCCATCTTGTATATATACCACAATATCCTAACCAGTCATCAGTTGATGGACATCTGGGTTTATTCCATATCTTAACTATTGTGAGTTGAGCTACTAAAAACATGGGGAAACAGATAATTCTTTCATCTGCTGATTTCATTTTGTTTGGGCAAATTCCCAGGAGTGGAATGGCTGGATCCTATGGTAGATTTCTTTGCAGATTTCTGAGAAATCTCCGTATTGTTTTTGGTTATGGTTGTCCTAGTTTACATTCCCACCAACAGTGCATTTAGGTACCTTTCTCCAGACATCCTTGCCAACATTTGTTATTTTTTGATTTTTGGATGATAGCCATTCTAATTGGGGTGAAGTGGAACTTCATGATGGTTTTTAGATTACATGTGATCACAATTAAAATATCAAAGACATTCTTCTCAGATATAAAAAAAAGACCCTAAAATTCATATGGAGTGACAAGAAAGAGAACTCAAATAGCTTAAGAAATCTTATACAATAAAAATAAAGGTAGAGGCACCATAATACCAGATTGCAAGACATATTACAGGGCATTTACAAATAGTCTGATACTGGCAAAAGGATAGACATGTGGTCCAAAGGAACAAATTAGGAACCCCAGAAATTAATCCATGCATCTACAACCAACTAATATTTGACAAATGAGCTAAAATCACTCTCTGGAGAAAGGACAGAACCTTCAACAAATAGTGTTGGGAAAATTGGAACTCTGCATGCAAAAGTATGAAAGAAGACCCTTACCTTACACGTTACACAAAAATCAACTCACAATGGACTAAGGGCTATAAACCTAAGACCTGAAACCATCAATTTACTAGGGAAAAACATAGAGGAAACACTGCAAGACATTAGCATAGGCAAGGACTTCTTGGATAAGACCCAGAAGCAAAGGCAATAAAGGCAAAAACAGATAAGTGGGATTACTTCAAGCTAAGGAGCCTTTGTACAGCAAAGGAAACACTCAAAAAGGTAGAGAGGCAACTGGCAGAATGAAAGAAAATATTTGCAAACTATACATCCGATAAAGGATTAATACCTAAGGTGTGTAAGGAGCTCAAGACACTTAACAACAAGACAAGCTGTCCAGTTAAGAAATGGGCTAAGGATATGAACAGGCATATTTCAAAGGATGAAATACAAATGTCCAACAGACACATGAGAGATGCTCAGAATCACTAGCCATCACAAAAATACACAGGCTTCTTATGGGGGTTATTAGCTTGCTTATCAAGTTGGTGCTTTCAGTATAGGACCCTTTTGCTGCATATTAAACACAGGGAAATCATCTTAATTTCCACAAAGAAGCATGCCTATCCCCACTTCTTTTCGAAT